TTCTAAGCTTCTTTACACGAGCAAATTTAACCGGTTCTCGCCTTTTTACCCTCTGTTGCTTGCTGGAAATCGGCGAAAAGGATGGCTATTTGATGATAGAACAAGAAAAGAACCCAAAGCATATAGTATAAGATTATTGCAATATAGTATTGAAAATGGTATATAATGAATTGAGATTCATATACTAATTTGGGGAAAAAGAAAAAGAAACCCTTTTCTGCGTTCGCGCGGGAAAAAAAAACATGGCACGATATGCCCATTACAATGTCGCCACACGATGTACTGATATATGTACATAGCCACATGCATAAATACATACCTTATCCACCCTATATATAATTCCAGAATGCGATAAGCCTACGTGGCTGCTTCTAGTCCTTCATAATCATATTTGGGGAAGAATCATGCTTGGTTTGGACAAATAATATTAATATATTAATAATTAATAATTTAGGTTCGGGTATTCCATAAATATTATTTAGCTAACTTAGGTATTTTAATAATATCACTTTTACTAATATAACCCTTTAATTATTTATAATTTTACATAGTGAGACACTAAGTGACTAATATATCCCTAAATTTTGATTTGCTTCCTTCAATAAACTATTGAATTATAAATGTATTTTAAAAGTAGATAACTTTTGTATTTCTTATCGGTTTACGTATATAATATATAAATTAATCATCTTTTGATGATCTTCGATTTGACATCCATATTGTACATATAAAATAAATAAATTATATTTATCTTTATAATAATAAAAATAATAATATTTATTAAAATTCATTAGAAAAATAAAATTATTTCTCAATTGATATATTTATATTTAATGTAGTTATATAGTGTAAGTTAAAAAATTAGTATAATATAACACAAGTAAGTCGTACAAATAAAAAGTATCATAATAAATATATAATAATATATATATATATATTCATATAAAAGGTATTTAAATTTTCAAACTACTTTTTTTCATTAATTTTAAATTTTAATAAAAAAATTAGCAAGCACCCGTGTAATACACGGGTGTTGTACTAGTGGTAAAATAAAACCAAACTAGTTGTCGTCCACATGCACAAATAACATAAAAAATAATATAATTGTTTTATATAAAAATAACAATTAAAATAAAAATTAAATTAATAATGTTTATCATAATTATAATTTCATTGTTACATTACTTACTCTTAGCTGATATTTTAGATTTCAATAAAAAAATATCATGAGGAATTTATCATATGCCAATGATTATTATATGAATATAATAAATAATATAATTTTATATATACTTTGAGTACCATAATGACACTAATCATAAAAGTATCACAAACTAAAAATAATCATATAAATTTGAAATGAACAATATAAATTTTATATAGTAAATGCTAATCTTTTGAAGATATTTATGGTTTTAGTTGTATTAATAATAAAATAAAATACATGTACAATT